CCCCCCCCCCCCCCCCCCAAGATTCCATAAATGAAAAAGTTGAATCTGTTGGTAGTTAGAACTTTGTACAGTAGATTTCAGGTTCAACTCTGCATTCCTGCATGCTTAATGAGCAGTGAATTCACACACGAGGTAGTTTTCAGTTTTCTTGAATTTGATGTAAATGTCTTCAAATCAATTCTATTCATTCAAAGATTTTTCAATCTGACTGAATACAGAGAAGTTATCCTTAAAAAAAATCACTGCTCATTAGGCATGCAGGAATGTAGATTTGAATTTGATACTGGCCGTTTTATCGAGGTATAGTTAATGATTAATTAATAAAACCCAGCTACCCCGGTCTGAACAATTACCGTGTAGTAACTGGTGTAATACCGAGCCGTAAATAGCTATACGGCACTAGAAACTCAAGAACAGGCCCGCGTTGCTCGAAGCATGGTTAGTGCTAACCAGCGTTAAATACCATGGAAACCTATACATTTTGATAGCTCTTAACCAACGGTTAGCGCTAACCAGGCTTCGAGCAACCGGCCCCTGGCAAACAAAACTGTTAAAAACTACTGTAAAAATAAATTTTATCCTTGTTGGTCTGTTTGGCTTTCATCTTTTATGACATGTTGAAATTTTTTCGTTATAGCGAGATAAAGTTTGTGATTGGGATTCAGGATTGTGTTAGTTTTACTTATAAACGAGGATTTCGTTAAATCGAGGTTCTGTTCCATACATTTTACCATTATTTCTGCCGGGCTGGAAAAAATCGTTCGTTATATAGAGGTTCGTTTCATCGAGGTTCCATTGTAGATAAATGAATTGGTGATTGTTGCAGCTGTTGTTATAAACATTGTTTGTTCATGTTTTTTAACATTCTTGTTGCCGCTTTTGTTGTGATTCAGTGCTTGAGGTTTCTATCGTCAGTAATAAAGACATGACTGCGAGTAGAGTCTTTAAGACTCGTATTTTTCAGATAAAAATGTTAACGTTGATAGAAACAAGGCGGGGCATTAAACCCATGGTAACATCAAGATCTCCGAGTGACGTTGTGATTTAATGTCAGAAGAAATCTGAAATCCATATCTTACAATGTATGGAATATTCTCCTAATTAAATACACATTGACTTTTCTATGGAACGTGTTTCTGTTTCATTTTAGTTTAACTTTGTACAGTAGAATTCGTCATTATAATATTAATTACTCATGGTACAGTCAAACCCCGTTAATACGGACACTGACGGGGTGTTTACATGACTGTGTTTAAATGACTGGGTCATTTCATATCTCGTTATTTGATGGTACACTTCATGTTGATAAAATACACATGTGATTCAAAATCCCAAACAGTACGCATGCGCTACCCGTTCCAGTCGGGTGGTCGTTTGGCGTTTACATGATACCGCTGCGAGATTTCGTACCGGAGTGAAATTCAATTCTCGCCCCGGTACAAGAACCGGGGTGAACTCACCCCGGGGTGACTCGCGCCGGCATGACATTTTGTGGTGGTATCATGTAAACAAATATAGAGCCATGAGAGGGAACCTGAGAGAACTAGCTCCGGGGCGAAAGTCGCCCCGGTGTCATGTAAACACCCCCTTAGGGGACCATAGAAAGTGTCCGTAATAAGCGGGTTTAATGTGGAGAAGATGTAAGACCTTTCTCCCCTGGGACAAAGCAAACTGGCCGTAATAAAATCTCGGAATTGGTCTTTGATAATCGTGTTGTTTCTTACCCTTCTCAAGTGTCTAGAAGTCGTTATAAGCAGTTTCGAGCCGTTTCCAAGTGTTTTTGAGGGGGGCATCGTTTTCTACATTTGGGGCGGGGGTGGGGCTCATGTAACATAACATATCAATCAATCAAATCAATCAATCAACTTTATTTAAACACGGTAAATCGCTCAGCAAGCTGGTTTTCAGACAAGCCGTGTGATAATTACAAGTTATAAAAATTACGACTAGTGATTAACTAACAATAATTAGTACAAAAATTGCTAATTTTATCTGTTCCTATCGACTCTCATAAACGTGACTATCTAGTTTTGTATGGTAAGCAAGACTAACAATACTAGTAAAAAATAGTAATAATTTGAAATACAATATAATAACAAGAAATAAGTCATTAAAGAAATAAGATAAAAACATATAAAAGTTATATCCTAGGATATCGCGAATTTAAAGCTAGTAAGATCCCCTATCTCACGCGTTTGGTTTGACAGTTGGTTCCAAGCCACTGCACCCCGATAAGAAAATGAACGCTAAGGAGAATTTGTTTTAGGTAGTGGTAGCTAGAGATCATAGTTAGAACCCCTCAAATTATAGTCATGAATTTCAGAGGTTCTATGAAACCGCTTCTGAAGGTACGTCGGACAATTATTATTGATTACGATTACTTTAAACATCGTAACTAATAAGTGCCTTTTTCTTCTTTCTTCTAAGTTTGACCATTCTAAAGAATTTAGTACATCTGATGATCTGATAGAGTAATCAGCCCAAGTGATAATCCGTGCTGCTTTATTTTGCAACTTTTGCAATTTGTCAGCACGTGTTTTGGAGCAGTCACCCCATACAACATCACAACAGTTAAAGTAGGGCTGCACCGGTGAATAGTAAATAGTTTTAAGAGTCTCTTGATTATCGGTTAGTTTTCTGGCTAAATACAATGATTCGCAAGCCATTAGAGACTTTGGATGAAATATGTTTGATCTGATTATCCCAGGTTAGCATTTCATCAATATGAACTGGCCCCCAATAACTTAGTAGAAAGTTTTTGTTCAATAGGTCTCTTATCCAACTCTAGATTCATGAACTTGGCATTTGCCAAATTTTGCCAAGAGCCAATGTCATACAACTAGTTTTACAAGTATTGCAACTCAATTTGTTTGTCTGAGCCAATTATGTACTGCAGTTAGGTCACTGATTAAAGAACATTCAATTGTGGATATATCTTCATGAGATGCAGTTATATATGTATCATCGGGAAACATACCAGGTGTTGTATGCCGCAGACATTTGGGAAAATCGTTTATATAAATTATGAACAATAGTGGTCCAAGTATAGAGCCCTGGCGAATGCCACCCGATACATATTGTTCTGCGGATTAGACACCATTTACATAACATCTCTGTGTTCTGTCAGCAAAAATGATTTAAGCAACTGAAGAGCATTGCCATTGACACCATAACAACACAGCTTACGTAGGGAGATGTTATGGTCAACAGTGTCGAAGGCTTTCTTCAAGTCAATTAATACACTACCATTAAGTTTACCAGCATCCATGTTGACAAGCCAAAGGTTTACTGCACTTATCAAAGCTGTAGACGTTGAATGATTAGGTCTAAAGCCAGGATTGAGACTCAGTTAAAGGATTTCCTCCTTGAAAATACCCTAACAGCTGAGTGTGCATGACCCTTTCTATAATTTTCGATATGGCAGATAGAATAGAAATCGGTCGATAGTTGCTTGGAATATTTCTCTCATCTGACTTAAAAATAGGATGTACTTTTGCCTTTTTCCAATCATCAGGAAATATTCCAGTCTCCAGCACATGATTAATAATATCACATATAAAGTCTGAGATATACGGACTACAAAGCTTTAAGAGTCTACTAGAAATATTATCTAGCCCACAACTTACTGAGGGTTTAAGATTGGAAATAAGGTTGAGAATGTATCCTACGTTTACCGGGCGAAAATAAATAAAAATTTAAATCCTATGGTTGAGAAGCAGTATCGGGAATACCAGATGCCAGTTTACTACCTAGCGAACAAAAGTGGTTATTCATTTGTTCAGCTATATCTTGCTTTTAATTTGTACAAAATCTTTGCCCTCATAAACGAATTCATTTATAACTGTTATTTTAGGCTTGCGACCGAGGGAACTATTTATTACATTCCAGGTTTCCTGCTTCTTAATGCTATCATTAAAGAAATTAGCCCTGGCTTCCCTAATAGACTTCATTTCATGGCTTCATTTCTTGCCTTTTTATAATCGTTCCACGCTTGATGAGAATTCTGCTTAACTGCTTGATTTTTAAAAAGTCGCGTTTTCTCATTTTCTGCCTCAGTTCAGCTGTTATCCACATAACATAACAAAAGTAGATTGAGTTTAATCGTCCGGGTGAACGTTGTCCTGAATAGGACTGTTTGTTGTTAACAGTGACTGACGTTTCGACAACCTGAGCGGTAGTCATCTTCAGAGTCAATGAAGTGAGTTGTATCACGTCAGTTGATGGTAATATACTCTGGTTATTGACCTGATTGGTCAATTACTTCGCGATGTTATTGGTCGCCTGTCAGTTATGCCGTGATGTTATTGGCTATGAAGACTCGTAATGTAATTGGTACGTTTCGATCCGTCCATTGTCACAGTTCAACAGTCGTCTACTGTTAGTCAAATTGTCAGTTGTCCAGTCGTTCTCTCGTAGTTAGTTTTGCTTGATTTCGTCAATAAGTCGTTTGTACGGTGCCGGTAACTGTTGACTACGATTCAGTGGCGTTTTTCTAAGTTAGTAAGCCAGCTTTCTAAAGTGAGTCGTTGATAGTAGTCTGTAGAATGAGTAATACATGTCGCAGAGTCCCAGTCGATTTGATGTTTCGTCTGTAAATGGTGTTCAGCAATGTGATTGTTGACGTTACCATTTCTCGTCGCTCGTTCAGGGGGGGAGTTTTGACAAAATCGGCTTGAGATAGATCCGTTACGCTAAATCAGAAAATATCGTATTCGCTCTCTGTTGAAAGGAATGAAGCGTTTGAGATGATAAACGTGAAACTGTTACTGCGTTCAGGACATCATATGCTTGTGGTCGGTGTCTACCATCCACCAAGTTTAAATACAGCGAACGTGATCTGATTGACTGTACTGTAGAGCTAACAGATGAATTTCTGCACTGCTTTTCAGATGGTCTTATTCTTTGTGGAGGGGATTTAAATCAGCTTGATTTGTATTCACTGACAACTTTATGCGGACTAGTTGAATTAGTGGACTTTCCGACAAGGGGTAATGCTGTACTGGACAACTACCCGACGAATAAGCCTGAGTTATTTCAGACACCATTTCCATATCAAGCTTTGATAAAAACCGATCATGTGGGTGTGATTTTACCACCGGGTAAGAAGCTTAGACCTGTTCGAAGGAAGCATACCTTCAGAGACTTCAGAGAACACCGTAAGATAAAATTTGAATCGATGATTCAGACCTGCGATTGGACACCTGTTTTGAATGCCCCAGATGTTGATAGTGTTACCAACACGCTAAATGAATCTCTGCTTTCTCTTATGAATAAGTGTTTTCCCGTTAGAACTGTGACTTTGTCTTTAAGGGATCCCCCTTGGATGACTCCCCTTGTCAAGTATATGTTAAAAAAAGAGTCGAGAGCCAATGCTTCTGGGAATGTGGCAAGAGCCAAGGAGTTATCGAATAGGGGTATCGGAGCTCATTGCTGAAAATCAGTCGTATGAACTGGGGTCGCGCTGAGACTACAGGAACCGTATGCAGTGGTGGCGTAGAGTGGATAGTATCTCTCAAAGGAAAAACAAACCACAGCCTGTCTTGAACGGGAGTTTTCTACGTGGTCTGAATGAATTTTTCGCAAAACTTTGCCAAGATGATAGTTACACGGAGCCTTCGTTCCAAGAAATCGATAGAGAAAAGTATCTATCGCCTCGAGCTCGACTCAATGAAACCGAAGTTATGTTGGCCTTGTCTAAGATCAAAAAGATAGCATCAGGACCGGACAGTATACCTTACTGGGTTTGGAGACATAATGCTCTACTTTTAGCTCCGGTGGTTACTTTTATTTGGAACTTATCTCTGTGTTCCTATACATGGCCTGAGGCATGGAAAGAGTCTAACATCAGTCCACTCCCCAAGGTGGACACACCTTTGCAACACCAGGACGTTCGTGAAACGTAACCCCTGTTATTGCCAGATGTTTCGAGAAAATTGTCTATCATAAATTCAGTAAACACGCGTTTGAAGAAAATCTGGGTCCGACTCAATATTAGTACCGGGAAGGATGCAACTGCACAGATGCTTTGATCAATATGCAGTATAACTGTTTGAAAGCGTCGGATGATAGGGAATGTAGGTATGTTCGACTGTTTGCTATAGACTTTGCTAAGGCATTTCACAACGTGAGGCACAGTATACTTAGCGACAAATTGAAGGCCCTTAACTTAAATCCGTATATTACCAACTGGTATCTTAGTTTTTTACGAAATCGTAAACGACGTTTAATGTTCAGGGGTAGCAGCTATTGCTGGTATAATGTAAACAAAGGCACAACACAGGGCAGCCTTAGTGGCCCTTATTTGTTTAATCTTTTTATTAATGATCTCGATCTTGTAAACTGTCCTGGTGAAATATAATAATAAATATGCCGATGATACTACGATGCAAGTTATTATAAATAAGGCCGGAATTGATTGTGTTAGTGATGTAATTTCGCAATACCTTAGCTGGTCAAGAACAAACTATATGCCTTGCAATCTATCCAAACGTAAAGAATTAGTTTTGAAGAAGACAGTACAAGCAAATCCTAGTCCTATTGGTAATATAGAGCAGGCCGAATTTCTAGTGCTACTCGGAGTGACTTTCCAGGGCAATGGCAGATTTACAGAACACATTAAACGAAAACTCTTCGAAGCGAATAAGTGTCTCTAGGTGTTAAGAAGCTTAAGGAAGGAATGATATAACCAAGTGGAAATTGATTATTTATTTCAGTCTTTGGTTTTACATTATTATTATAGACATTATTGGCTCGCAGGTGCGTTGATACAAACGGTTATAACTTTTAAAATAATGAAATCGTACATGGGATTTTGTATATTGTTAATAACACATGATCTTTCTTTTCGTCTATTTAGTCTAGAGCTTTCAAATAGGTCCCAAACGTCAGAAATAAGAGTTTAAACCAGGGTTATTTTTGGCCTTTCGCCCCAAGGCAAATAGTTAGGGTCATATTTTGCTTGATTTTGTCTTTTCAGCTTAATTTAGCGAATAAATATTACTTTTAGGAAAAACTAGAGATGTTTACCCTTAAATAGGTATAAAATTCATTGGCAGATGGTGCAAATCAAACATTTTACAGCGCCGCAAAAATGCCAAATTTTCAATTTTCCAAGACGTGCAAACTGGTCGTGGCGGGACAAAATACCCGGCGCCCTCCAGCGCGGCCACTGGAAAAGTATTGTGAATCAAAGCAAACCTATTGTAGTTATAGTCTCGATAAAGCCTTTCACTTGCCAGAATTTCAGGCGAAATTATTTTTCACGCGAAATTGAGTGGGCGGTTCTTACTGAGACAGCCTCTTAAATCTATAGTGTTTTGAAATGTTCAAATTTAATACATTCTTTAAAACGTTAAAAGTCGGTATTCTTACTTATTTGGCCTACCATTTGGAAATAACAATGCAACACAAAGTCAAATCTTTAAAGGTCGATATGAGCTAGAGCTTATAAATATAACCTGGAGACTTTCGTTGAAGTTTGCCTTTCTTGGCTTGCCTTAAGATAAAAATATGTGATATAAGAAAAAAAGGGAAGTTAAATGATCATATTTATGCTTTAAAACTAATGTAAATGCAACTGCGGAGTGTTTACCCAAGGAACATCAAGGGAAGTTTCAATCAGTGATGGCTTTCAATAACTTTTGGACATGCTTCGTGACATTACATTTCTCACGGATTGTTTTCTTTTGATTCTCCAGCCATTTGTCGACATAATTTCGATCTGTTCCATCTTGAGGAATGGCCAGAAAGTCGGTCTTAAAGTCTTCAAGGACTGCATAGAAGATGTGGCAGAAAAACTTCATGTCTTTCCCTTCCTTGTTCATCACTTCGTAAGCTTTTTGGGCGCGCCCTGGGCTTTTTCAGCTTTGCCTTCAAAATTGCGAAGTTCCTGTTCCATCATTGAGAAGAATGCTGCTGCCTTCATAAGGCCATCTATGAAACTGTCAAGAGCAGGGATTAGGCTATATGAAGCTAACAATTCTCTGGCCATCAAATTTGCTTCGTCTTTCCTCCTTTTAGAGGATTCAATGATGTCTTGGTGCATCTTAAGTACCGCTTCGCAAAGCCCTCTGTAACCAACGGTCTCTTCTAGGATGTCTGAGATCATGTCAACCCATTCTTCATATTTCAGAGCTTCATAATGCTCAAGGTACTTGCTTATAGAAGCGACAAAAATGGCTGAAATCGCGAAAATGCCCCTGAGGTAAACAAAGGCGTCATCCCTTGTCTTATCACGAATTTCCCAAAGCCTTTTGGCAAATTCGCCATTGGTGCCAACAGCTTTCTCTGCATAAAGGGACCTCGTGATGTTGAGGGAGAAGTTACGCATGCCAATGGCCATTTCCTTTAGTAGCCAACCAACTCCCGTGAATTGATATCCTCCCCTTCTTTAAATCTCGGACAGCTGTGTTTTAAAAACGTAAGGATGAGAAGGCTTCCCAACAATTTCAGAATGAGACTCAAACTACTGTCAGAAATATAAACTATGTAAACGTGGTTCTTCCAAGTCAATGTTATGACTTACGCCAAGAACTACATTTAGTTAGTAAAAAAAAGAGTTTTCCCGCACCATTAATATAATCCCTTCCTAATTTCAACCCTTCTTTAATAGCTTTACAATGACGTAAGCTATAGTTGGTTAATTGTGTTCCGTTGAGAAGGTTACAAACTTCTGTCAAGGACAAAAGGTTTGGAATTCCTGGGATTATAAGATCTCACTTTTATATCCAGTCGTGCGGATATCATTGAAAGTGTCATGTCATTACCGGGGATCTACGAATCGTAAGAAACAGAAAACTTAGACGACTACTACAGAAGGGTCCAAAGTACAGGGAGCAGAATAATATCGATTGGCACCTTAACAAGAAGATATTGACAAAAAGGCGGTAGATGATTACGCCAGGAATTGGAGTAAACGAGAGGGATGCCACGTGTCAGCTCTGGAGGCATGGTCGGAGACGGTAAAACTTATCATCAGCAACAGGATAAACAATTAAGAACATCGAAGTTTTCGTCCTTGTCATAAAATCTTAGAAGACCCGCATATCAAGGCATACTTGACAGAACTTCAAAGTAAATATGTACTGGTTTCTGCAGATGAAGCCGGCAACAACATCATTTTTGTTTGTAAGTATTATTACGTACATACTCTAATGGAAGAGCTTGGCATAAATTCAAGAACAAATCGTAATTCTACATATGTAACTCAGGATCGTACAGTGGATGATATAATACAGACCCACGCCACAACATTGGCGGATGTGTTTGACATCAAATTACAACAGAAGGAGAAAAGCTTGCCACAGATATAATGGATTCCTAAACTTCACAAGACACCGTACAAGGCAAGATTTATTGCAGGTTCAAGTTCATTCTACAACTAGGCCCTCTAAATTAATTACTGAGTATCTTAAACTGGTCCGCACCCAATGCACCGCTTACTGCAAGACGATTCGAGTAAGGACAGGTGTTAACTGCATGTGGATCATCAATAATTCGTTGGACGTTATCCGTGTACTGGAGGAAAAACAGCTTTCCCTAAATCATGTGAGTACTTGGGACTTTTCGACTCTTTATACTAGCCTTCCTCACGCCCAACTTAAACATAGGCACGTTAAACGTGCATGAGCTATTTTGAATGCTTACCAAGAGTGATGAATCTACCTTTTTCGTCCTAAATGTAGACTGGTTTTTTTGCGGAATTAGTTATTGCCGTACATAAATGAAAACGCGAAACGCTCAGCTGCGTCGATCCTCATGCTATATATTCACTTTCCTCTGTCTTTCCCTGTTACATTTGGTGCAAGTTAAACAATTATTAAAGTAAAATAAATATCTACTCACCAAACGTTGATTAGAAGGAAAACTCTAAGGTTTCCTCGGAGTTTCTTGTTTCTTAAGGTGACTCGACCCAGTTTTTTTGAGGGGGTACCATCCTACTTTGAAGCTCTCTGGTATCCCCACCTTTACTTTTATCGTAAGTCTAACACATAGAATGGATAACATATAGATCAATCTACAATATAACGTAAAATTTTGGGCGATTGGAGTAAATGTCACGTGGTTATAATGCCACGGCCCTTTGAGGTCTGAGTCGAAAATCTGCTGTTGCCGGCATTTTTTCGTGAAAATCTCTCGGCTACACATAGTGCGCATTAGTGCCTTGCGCTGAACAGAGTTTCACCAAAATCGCAAAGACCCAATTCGAGAAATTCAGCGGTTTCCAAATTTAGGTCATAATTTATGCGAAAATGATAA